GTTGGCAACATTTGGGTTTCGCTCTTTTTTGTGCTAATTACAAGGAAACTGGCAGCTAAGAGCTCCAGCTGGAGTTGGCCGCAGCTGATGGATGGGGCACTCGAGTTGGCAACAACCGAAAACGAAAACAAACTTGTGGCCCACAGCAGCAGCAGCAACAACAACAACTCGAACGGCAAGGGCCAAGCTGTAAACGGCCAAAAAGTCAACGACGAGCCGAAGGCAGCCAAAAGCCCAGCGCAGTCAAGGCAAAGCAAGGCCAAAAGCGTGACCAGGAAGTTGTAAACGGCTCAGCCAAAACAAAAGCACCGACAACAGAGCTTCCCTGCCATAGCCCGATGCCCGCTCCCCATTTGTGCCCCTTTCAACAGCTGCGTCTTCAGCGACTCCTGCTCCGTTTCCGACTGCATCTCCGGCCGGTTCGTGAGCAAACAGATTGGCAGGCAAAACGACCTCGCCTACTCCAAATAAAAGGCAGTAGGAAGTGCTGCCTCGGCTTGTTTACCTGCCAACCACTAGCCCCAACAAAAACAACAACAACAACTAGCAGCTCCGGTTGCAAAGTAAAACATTCAACGCCGAACGCTGCACAATGCCAAAGACGTTGCCCCAAACAGGCAGCGAGGCGTGCTGAGAGCGCCCTTCAGCTGTTGCCTTGAGCCCCTGCCCAGCCGGGCCAGGCACTTAATCAGCTTCGTAACTACGCAAAGTTAAGTGACAGAAATCGCTGACAAATATATATGGAGAGAAACAGATTATTATGACTTGGACAAAGCTGGAAGAAATATATTTTTAGATAATTGATTGAATTACATTTATGCCTACATTTATGTAACTTCTTTCCGAAATGCATATATACCGTATAAACATTGATAAGCATTAATAAATATTTATAAATAATTCATGTTTGCCTTAAAGACTCCTCTCTTAACATGCTACATTTATGTAGTAGGCTGCAATTTCAATTCTGTATTCCCTTTTGGAGCATTCGAGCCTCTCGTTGGCGGCTTAAATATTATTTATGTCACTCGTTGAGCGCATCCTTTGCCAGAGTTCCCCTTTCGCTGGGTAGCAACAAGAATTTTTCGATTTATATGCCAACCCCAAGAATAATATCAATAAATGTCGAGTACTGCGGGGCCGATAACTAGCAGATACCCTGTAGAAAATAAAAGTTGCAGGAAATATAAAATAATATAATATATATGCATAATAATAATATACTTAACTATATATAATATTTATATATGCAAAATGTAACGAAAGAGGTCTTAGTTTCCCAAGCTCATCATACCCATTGTTTGGGCTATAGGGTATAACAATAACGCAAGAGAGACTGAAGAAGTTGATGGGACAGAGCGCAGGACAGTCATTCAGGTAATACTAGCTCCTCATATGGCAGTCCTTCCGGGTGGAGCCAGGCCAATAGTCCTCAGTCAAATTGGCCCACTTGTGAGCTGTCGTCTCACACACACACCCACGCACACCTACACAAGTAAAGAGTAAATGTATATAAATAAATATACAAAGGGGAGTTGGAGCTGCGTAGCGAATATAATAACAATGCCCGCTACAACAACAACAACAACAACAAACAAACAAATATCAATTCAATAACAATTCGATTACTGACAATTGAAATACTTAAAGCAACTGCAACCACAAGCCTCACCTGAGCATTTCCAAACAATTTGATAAAGGTTTTCCATTTCCGCAATGTCAGTTAATAAACCTGAAATTAAAGCCGAATATATATTTATTTAAATTAAACACTCTCAGCTGCGTGTGGCAAAGATTAATTATATGGGAGATTTCCGCTTGGATTTTTATTTATTTTTATAAAAAAATATATATATATAAATTATATAATTATATATTTGTTAAATTCAGCAATCAATGTTATCGATATATATGGATTATAACAACATAGAATTATTCATGTAGCTGAAATTAAAAAATGAAAATAAATTTTAAATAGCTTTTCACCCTTCTTTTCCTTGTAATAACTTTTCTGCTGGCTTGTGGGACTCATCTAATGTTTATATATATCAAGAGCTGTATTCATTTAATTAATTTACTTTTACCAATTCCACTTTGAGGTTTTTCCCTCGATTATAAGCTGATGGCAATGATAATGACTTCATCAGGAGAATTGCAATTCGAAAATCATCATTAGAATAACCATTAATGGCCATTTAATAACCGACTTAATGCCTTAGCATTAAATTAGAGTCTCTTATCAACTTGAGCTCGATCTTAGCAATGTGCTGTCGAGCAATCACTCTCACGGCTGGAATTCTGCAGAGTCCGGTTCAACATTGCCCAAAAACAATCAACGGAGCTGGCCAAAATTGTATGCATCTATTTAATTTATGGACCTTCACGCAGAGAGTTGCGGTGTTAAAAATCAGCGCCAAATAATTTGCATAATTTGCAGATGTATCAGCTGTGCGAGGCGAAACTGGAGACGAGGCTCAGCAAGATGGTGAATTAATGTGGCTAAATATAGACCTAAATAGAAAGCACTCAAGTACTAATTTACGGACTCCACAATTTACATATATGCAAATGGGGCAGCTCACTTGTAAGCAAAGAAAATTATTTTTATACATAATGTAAGAAAAGTTTATATTGATAAATGTATACATATATATATATATATTATCTACAATAATTATACAATATGTATATTTGTTTAAGCAATAGAACCTGTTCAAACATCAATTAGTCCATTCCTAAAATCGATCTTAAAATTTGCACCTTTGTGATATCAGGTAGCGAATAGGAAGTTGTCTGCTCTAATTTAAAACCAGATACAAAGTGTGACAGCATCCATTTATTTTAGGTCCATATGCATATTTAAATTACATCCGCTCACACTACAACCGCTCAACAATCAGTGGAACGTGCTGTGTGGATATTGACACAGATGAAAATACAAAGACAGATACCGATTAGATATGCTTATTGATTAATAGGAATATACAGCTATATAAACAGATATAGATTGATATTGATATCGATGCAAATTTAAATATACAAATGCAGATGCAGATGCCGAGACAATACATATACAAACCTACAGACAGATATATAGAAAGTGAAAGAACAAGTTTAGATACAGGTGCAAAGGTCATAGAAGAACAGATAGAAATAGTAATGCAGATACCGATACTAAATGAAATGTAGCTAACATATATTTATTAAAAAAATATGCAGATACAGATACATTTACAGATACAGATACAGATACAGATACAGATACAGATACAGATACAGATACAGATACAGATACAGATACAGATACAGATACAGATACAGATACAGATACAGATACAGATACAGATACAGATACAGATACAGATACAGATACAGATACAGATACAGATACAGATACAGATACAGATACAGATACAGATACAGATACAGATACAGATACAGATACAGATACAGATACAGATACAGATACAGATACAGATACAGATACAGATACAGATACAGATACAGATACAGATACAGATACAGATACAGATACAGATACAGATACAGATACAGATACAGATACAGATACAGATACAGATACAGATACAGATACAGATACAGATACAGATACAGATACAGATACAGATACAGATACAGATACAGATACAGATACAGATACAGATACAGATACAGATACAGATACAGATACAGATACAGATACAGATACAGATACAGATACAGATACAGATACAGATACAGATACAGATACAGATACAGATACAGATACAGATACAGATACAGATACAGATACAGATACAGATACAGATACAGATACAGATACAGATACAGATACAGATACAGATACAGATATAGATATAGATACAGATACAGATACAGATACAGATACAGATACAGATACAGATACAGATACAGATACAGATACAGATACAGATACAGATACAGATGCAGATGCAGATACAGATACAGATACAGATACAGATACAGATACAGATACAGATACAGATACAGATACAGATACAGATACAGATACAGATACAGATACAGATACAGATACAGATACAGATACAGATACAGATACAGATACAGATACAGATACAGATACAGATACAGATACAGATACAGATACAGATACAGATACAGATACAGATACAGATACAGATACAGATACAGATACAGATACAGATACAGATACAGATACAGATACAGATACAGATACAGATACAGATACAGATACAGATACAGATACAGATACAGATACAGATACAGATACAGATACAGATACAGATACAGATACAGATACAGATACAGATACAGATACAGATACAGATACAGATACAGATACAGATACAGATACAGATACAGATACAGATACAGATACAGATACAGATACAGATACAGATACAGATACAGATACAGATACAGATACAGATACAGATACAGATACATATATATATATATATATATATATAGTTAATTTATCAAGTTTAATTATTGGAGAGAAATACGTTAAAGTTATATTCGCAGTCTGTAAACTTAAATATTTGGTCGCAAATAAAAGTATACATACACATATAGTTGCAAATACATAAACAAATACGTCAATCAAATATTGTTCATTCGATCATATTATATCATATCATCATATTATCATTCAGCTGCAGATACATCTATCATATATCAGCTGTGACCGTGAACCGACAGAGTTCAAATCCATCTGCAACTGCGACCCGAGGCATACCTCAACGAAAACAAAAGTTGCCTCTGTCCCCTAATTGGTCCGCAGCAACAACAACCATAGCAACAACAACAAGAACTACAGCAACTGCAAAACCCGTTACTAAACGTGGCCTAATCCGGTTATTAAACTTTACATTTGCCTGCTGCTCACTGACGTCGCATTGGCTCTGCGTAAATTCTCGCTCTTTAGATGTGCTTCAATTCTTTTCTCAACGGAGATCATTTCTCAGCTTTTGCTTTGTTTTAGTGTTTTAGCTTAGTGTGTTTTATAAAAGCGAGGCGCATGCGCAGCGCATCTTTTAGTCAACCTCAATTCTTCACGCACGCCAGCTCGAAATTCGTTGATAAACTATGTCGCTTCGCATTGTGAGTGTTGAGCATTTGGAATGCAGTTCCGACTTTGTGTAAAGTTTAAACAAATTGAACTAAAAGTGGATTTTATTTTAATGTGTGCTACGAAAACTAGGCCAAGTAGGAATATCCTAAAGATTATAGAAATGATTGGATAACAAACATACAAAATATACTCTATTTTATTGCTGAAGTATTTTTAAGAAATGTTGTATATATTAGGGTAAAATACTGACTATAGTGAAAAATGTATAATTTGGAGTTTAGTTCTTGTTAATATTATGCTTAAATATCATTTTGTTTTTATTTACATTTTCCAACTATCTGACGAACTTTTGACAACTCAAATTTTCGATAGGCAAATATCAAAAACTTGAATTTTCACCTTGCACTGCAAGTCACAAACATCTTAAATTATATCAATTTGCATAGCAGCAGGTATTTTGACAAGCAAAACAGCAATCTAATAGTGAGTTATTTCTTAATGAACTGTAGCAGCAGCTGAGAGCAAAACTCAAAGAGCACGATTCGCCTAAATTAGGCATAACAAGTTATTCAGCCAAGCATCTTGATAAGAACCGACTATAATGGAAAAATGTCAAAAATTCATCTGCATTGCTCAATTTGCATAGCATGCTAAAATAATTTTATATAGCTGCCTAAAAATACGTCAAACAAATGGAAAAACTATGCAGGAATCCAAAACATGGACATAGACCTCGATGTCCAGGCCATTTGCATTTATCAAATCATATATATGTGTATATTATTAAGATCAATTAATTTGAAATGTGAATCCAGTCCATAATAAACAATAATCATATTTTGGCTAATGTTCTGAAACAGGCTGAAAGATTTGTTGCATAATTATGCAAAAACCCGTTGGCCCAAAATATACAAAACGAAGCTAATTTGTGTTAATTTATAGCTAATTTGCTAGGCAATGCCAAAAACTATGCAGTCCATTTTAGACAATATTTCTCTTGAGTTATGGTCTGGCCTAAGAGCATGCTCGGTGTTCTTATTAGGGAGCATGTGATCAATTGTTATCATACAATGCAAGGTCACAGATTTTTCCCCTTCACATGCGTGGAGGTCAGCTGTCCACACAGCGAGCTGAAAACTACTAATCTAGAGCATAACCAAATGAGCTGTGCCATAAAAGAGCAGACTGCATAATTTGTGCCCAAGAGCAAGCAAAGTTAATTATGTTATGTAAACACAAATGGGAAGCAACAAAATCGAGAGAGAGACGAGACGAGCCAAAGACCATCGATCATTTCTATCGCATCGTTTGAGTTAAGAGCATTTCCCAACTATTTTACAGTTATTAATCGCAGCTGCCGCATTGATTTGCCACTGCGCCGCCGATGTGGCGCACATAAATCAAGCGGCGCCTAAGGACGTATTGGTGCCGTTCAATGATTTATTGCCACCGCCGCTGGAAGAGTCCACCACGGAGGCAGCCGCCCCAGCGACAAAGCCAACCAAAAAGTCCTTCCATCAGCAGCAGCAGCAGCAGGCCAGGGGCAAGGTCTCTGATATCAGTGCCGAGAAGCCGGCGGTGCTGCAGCTCGCTACGGACTTGTTGCCACCATTCGTTGATGCTGATAGTGGCAGCAGCACCACCACCACCACCACTCGACAACCACTTGTCAGCATTAAGGCAGCCTCAACTATCGCGACACATGTTGCACAGCCGGTGCAGCAGCACGCACGCGTGGCCGCCCGCCCCAACAGCCTGGCCAGCGAAACTTCCGCCTCCTCCCGCTTCTCAGCTGAGCTGATCCGTCAGTATGCCACGTACTTTCAGTCCACGACGCCGCGCCCGCCCCGTGGACCGCTGCCAACGCTGACGCCCTTTCCGCGTTTCATTAAAAACTAGCAAATTAATTAAATTAGTTAAGCGCACAACAATAAAAAATTAAATTAAATTAAAACAGCACAAAGACAAGAAAAATGTATAGCATTTTTAGCCTTTACTTTTTTTTAACGTTAACCAACAATTTAATTTATATTTTGCACAAAAGCCAAGAGTTAATCGAGCTGAATTTGTAAAGGGCGAAAGAAGTGGGATATATCGAAATTTATGGGGGATACTGTTGGGGCTTTTATTTCATATGTATATGTATATATATATATATATATATATATATATATATATATATATATTATATATATATATATATATGATAAATCAATCATCATTGAATTGAATCAAAGAATGCTCAGAAAGTTCACATTAAAGAGATAACTAATTGATCTCTTTATTAATAACTGTCGGAAAACTAATAATAATAATGATGAAAGCTATGAGAAATCAGATATATGGATAATTTATGAGCTGAATGTTGAATTAATAAGAGAGTTGTATGGATACATATGAATAATTTTTGAGATAAAGTAAAAAAAAAAAAAAAAAGAGAGAGACAGAAACAGATAAATAAAAAATAACAAATAAAATAGTATTTATCATGATATGTCAAGCGACTAATTGCATTTCCCATCTCCGACTAGTTTTAAAGCCAGTTTATTAATGTGATGCTGCGGGAGAACAGTTCACTTGACATATAAAAATAGATAGATTAGAACAGCAGCACATATACTGGATATTAACTGTTATACTGAAGCAAATTATTATCAGATATATTTGAAGACTTACTTAATACACTATCTTTGCTACAGAAACTTTTTGCTAAGCATTTCTAAATACTAGATGATGTATCTAAACATATACATGCATAACATATCTAATACATACATATATACTTTCAAGCTAATAAGATATATTGTTTAGCACTATCTATACACAACACACGTATAAACATACATAGATGCCTTGTAGAACATCTCTAGTACATATGTATAGCTAATTTCAAGCAAATTTCAAATTTAAGCAAATAATATTCTACTCATATACCTATTCCTCCGCCTATATATCACTACTCAGCAGCTTTAATTATGGGCAGCTATAAATTGTTGCCAAAGAACATTCAAATGCCTAACAAATTTGTTAATAAGCCAAGCGCGTGCTTGGCTAACTGAAGCTACTATCTCACATGGCCCATCGAGCCGCCTGGCGGCATTCAAAATTTTTTTTTGGCACTGCGTTTAATTAATTGCTCGGGGCAAATAACTTGGCGCCGCTGTTCGACACTGAAAACCTTTCTGGCTACAGCCAAAAATATGCACAAACAGATACAGATACAGATACAGATGCATATAGAGAGATACAAAATACAGATACAGATACAAGATGCTTGCAGCTGCACAGTGCTCGACATGCTGTCAAGTGCTAATTATGGCCCGCACCCAGCGTGTTCAATGTTGTTGTTGTTGATGATGTTGCTGTTGTTGTTGATGATGTTGCTGACATTCGAGCTACCGCAAATATGTCGCATTTGCATCGCTTTGCAGGCGCTAGACCTGAGCTGAATGGCAAATGCTTGCGCTCTAATCAAATCATTGCCAGACAGATTAGCCATATTTATGGCCAACGTTCGTCACTCGGACGCCTCGCTGTTGTTATTGTTATTGCTATGGTTGCTATGGTTGTTATTGTTCAGTTAACCACGTTAATTACACAGCTGATTGACATTAATGCGTTACTGCAGTCAATTTAACAGCCGATTTAAAATCATTTCTGCCTCTGGCCTCTGGCAAATGCTGCCAACAGTTTTTTCGTTGATTGATGACGTTAACACAAATTTAAACTGGCTTAATATGCATTTCAGTAATATGGCCTTGAAATATATATGCTTTAGCTTAGTGTGAAATCTATGAAATCTTCAAGAAAAGAGATTTCCTATTCGTATGTGTTGCCTGGGCGTGCTAGAAGATTAAGCAATTATCATAAATTTCAAATGTAAAACTGCATGCAATAGTTGTAGCTAAATTTAAGAGACTTTAAATCTAATCCCATTGCCTTTTGCTGGCTAGTTAATCAACTCTTTCACTTGACATTCCTTGCGAAATGCTGCGCAAATTTGACAAATTCATTTGGTTGTGCGAACTATTTCGAATTTGCCATTTCGAATTGCTGTAAATTATTTATTTAATTCGTATGCAAAAATATCATCGTAAAATTGCAATTTTATTTATTTATATTTGCTGCAGCATGCAGCATGCAGCATGCAGCACGCATAAGCCGACAAGTTTTTAAATGCTTTGTCGTTTGTTTGTTATTTATCATTTATGATTCCTGTTTGGCATGGCACAAACTAGCATGAAATTGAAATATTTATGCATTTACTGGGGCTGGTAAAAATCATTTACAAGGCAACGGGCAGCGAGCACTTGATTCAATTTTAGATATGCCCTGGGTAAACAGGCTGTTTAGTTTCAATTTTATTTTAGTTTAGTTTTTAATTAAAGTGCCAGTGCAGCACTTGAAACAATCAAATTGATTCAGCACCAGCAAACTCTTTAATCCGCTCTCACATTCAGCTACACTCCCCGCCCATGGCCAGCTGTGACAAAAATTATTTAATTCTGCTCAAGTGGGCTTCAGCTAATTATGGGACCAGTTCAGCAGCTCTAACAATCTCCCCCGGATTAAACTGGCAATCAGATTAAACATGCTAAACATCGCCAAAAGCGAAAACACTCACAGCAATTGTCAACTTGAGGTCATAGCGAATGTTAGATGCTCTCAAATCTGATTATGAATAAATATCTCATGCAATTTCATATTTGATAAATAAATAAATAATATTTCTGAAAAGCTGATGAAAGCTTCATACTCCCATTGAAACCTACAATCGAAACCGAATCGGAACTTCCATCGGCATTTATTGATTACCCTTCTCTAGAGTATTCCAAATAATGTGTGCTCATTATAAAACGCAAACTTTTGCTTCTAATGCGTGCAAAGGCATTAGATGTGTCAGCGTTAGCTTTGGGCTGCCGAACCCCCCAAATGTGTGTGGGTTTTGGCTGTGAGGGTTGAGTTTTTGAAGCTGCATTAAAAATCGCTTTTAACAAATGGCGCCATAAGCTCTTAGGCAAACTTTTAATGTGCACGCACCCACACACACATACGCAGTGCTTGTGCTGGTATGTGCGTATGTATGTAAGCAAGATTTATGTGGGCAACGCTGCGTATGAGTGTTTTCAACTATAACACGCCGTCTGCAGGGGCCGACAAGGAGCGTAATTCACATGTGCCCAAGGCCAAAGTATTTATAAGTGCATATTAAAAGTGTCTAGACATAGCCACATTATAAAAAACAAGTCAAGCATTCCCTTATTTTATTTATTTCATTTCAAATGCAAACAACTAAGCAACTCTAACAAAATGCCAACGGTAATGAAAACAATAAAAATAACTTCCATTTAATGAGAGCATTGCACAGATAGAGTTAAATTCAAAAAGAAAAGCACAAGCGAAAAAATTAATAGCCGACTTTAATTAATTTGAATTACAATTAGTCCTTTAAGCCTTCGCCAGTAAGATCCACTCCCATAAAATCAACAGCGCACAAAAGTAGGCAATGCAAATTATGAAGCAGAACTATTTTGGTGCTGCGCATAAAAGTATGCAATACTTTTCAACTTCGACCATATGAAAAATTCCCTTTTCATTTTCAGATCTGATATTATTTGATTTCCAACCGCTTGGCATACATCGCTCTCAGTTGATCCACCTTCACTCCATGTCCTCTCAAAGGCGTGTTCCTTCCTTTGTTTGCCCGCAAATAAGTGCTGCCGGAGCAGAGTTTATTCCGCTGGCATTTAAAGTACAATTAAATGAAAATACACCCGACAGCTGCTATGTTAATTTGCTACTAGCCGTTGAAGGCGAAGGCGGGCGCTCGGGCATTGTCCTGCATTGGCCTGCAGGAATAAGCCAAACAGTCGCATCCACAGGACACTTGCGCAAAATTGATTGTAAATACGCGAAAATACCTAGATACATACACACACACATACACACATACGTTAAAGCGTCGACTGAAATGCCATATCCAGCTGCTTTGCGCACGCTTTAAAATGCAATTTTCAGCAACTTTTTTCATTCCGCACATTTTTGCCTTTTTCCTTTCTCCTTTTGGCTGCCACGCCCACTTTCATTTTGCAAGCATATGCAAAAATAATTTTTAATATGTGCATGTTGGATGCCAAGCAAGGACACAGCGGCTGCTCTTCCTGCAGCTCCAGCTCCAACTTTTGATGATAATCACGAAGATAGTTATCATAATGATAACGTTGATGAGCGTGCAGAGCTGCTAGAGTCTGGCCACCTACATATCACTTTAATTACGTACAGACAATAGCAGACAGCATAAGTTAAAAATATGATAGATGCCAGAGCTCGAAAAAGAGATATCCTGTAAAGAGTAGAAAGAGAGGCAAATCTCAGCAATTTTTATCATTGAAGATCTAAGAGATTGAGATGAGAATATTCAATTATGATAAACTACATAAAGAACAAGAGAGTTTCCATGGTACGACCCTAGTTTCAACTGCCCCTGTGTACAGGGTATATAAGCCAGAGTAAAATTGTGCATGCCAAAAGCAGAAAGAGGGAAACAATATTGAGCAGGCGATTGAAGTATTGATTGTTTAATCAACGTTGCGTCAATATTGTTTGCTGGCCATTAACTGACAGCCCTCATAGATGTTTGCCGGATGTGGCCGGGCGTTAATGTCTCGCTTCAATTACAATAACGGAAACGGGTTTTAATGTGAAAATAATTGCATATCATTACAGTGAGCGTGGACGAAAATAAACCAGACCACGCCCCAAAAGAAGCCGAATAAAAACAATGGAGCAAATTGATAAAATAGCATTCAATTTGGATTCATTTGAATTCATTTTCAGTCACGTCTTTAATATTATTAAATTGATTCACTCATATAGCAAAGTTTTCCTTTGATTGGCCATATTTTACGTTTGATTTTCCTTTGTGCGCTTTGTTAATTGAAAAGCGAAAACCGCTAATCCATTGA